CCTCTCCCCTCCCCTCCCCTCCCCTCTCCTCTCTTCTCCCCTCCCCTCCCCTCCCCTCCCCTCTCCTCCCCTTTCCTTTTGTTAGCATAGTTCAGTGTTTCCCAAGTGTGTTTTCCAGAATACAAGGTCCATGGGATGCTCAGGTGGGGGATGTGGACAAAGTTTAGGAAATATTACATAGAGTCACTCATCTCTTAGAATTTCCTGATGTACTTTAACACTTTTTAGTCTCAAGAAATGGTCCAAAATAGGAAACCTGTTTACCCCAACCCCTTCCAAAATGATTTGACTGTGAAATATATATTATATATATATATATATATATATATATAAACATTCCAGACACCTGACTTTAGAAACAAAGGGAGAAGTATCAGTGATGAGAATGTATTGAGGAACGAGGGGATAGGGTTGGGCCAACATAGATTTTATGGGACACTTTGAATTTTTGCAGAATTACTGATTATTTATGCCATGCTCATTATCCACTTTGCAGGAACATCAGTTAAAAAAATGCTTTGTGTCATTTTGAACTGTATAGTCTATAAAAATTGTTAAATTTTTATGAATGGATTATCCTTTGAACATGCATAATGTCATTTTGAGGCTGTGGAAAACCTACATATTTTGAGATATCTTATTGGATTTTTTAAAAAATTCTTAGAAATTGCTTTTCTTGGAGTAACACATTTAATTGAAAAGGTCATTGCTCAGAAATCACTGTGATTCCAGATTTTTCAGTCTTCTCATATATTTTGAGAATTGCTATTTTCACTTTTAATAGCTATCATGAAAAAAGTTTAATATTAGAAATTCATAGCAACTACATTTCTCATATAATCTGCCAGACAAAACAATGTATTTAATTGCTTGGAAAATACAAGACTGTTGTATGTTATTAATTTGAATGTGATATATATATATATATTTCCAGTCCTTTATCTTTCAAAACTTATGAAAGGAAAAGTGCAATTTGAAAAGCTTTTAGGATGCAGTATTGGAGCAAATGGGCTCTCTGATGCCTGGGCATTTGGTTTGTTTTATTTCTGATGGAACATGGGAATATTTTAAAACTAAGATAAATAGCTTCAATGTTGAGAACCCCATTTTGTTAATATTGCTGTGTTAAATGTGTAGGTACTGAACAGTCAATGAAATATGAGACATTTTACCCAGTGACATTTTAAATGCATCTCCTTGTAGGGGAAGCCTGTGGGAACACCAGATGCTGGCGCTTACTTCCGTGTGCTCGCGGAGCATGGAGTAGCTGCCTTGTTTACAGCGCCAACTGCCATTAGAGCAATCCGTCAACAGGACCCTGGGGCAGCCTTGGGGAAGCAGTACTCTCTGACAAGGTGAACTCGGGATGCACAGGGCAAATTACATTAAAAACTGCAATCAGAATGAATAACTGAACATCCTATATATTTTTTCTATCACTGCAGTACCACTATGGAAAGAGCCAAAGGTTCTGAATGTTAAGAATGACTGTTCTAAACATATCTTTGAAATAGTTGGAAATTTAACTATACTGTGAATATTTTTTAATACCATATCATGTTTATTTCTGTTCAAATTTTATCAAAATAGTTCTCTTTTTTAAACTACTCAGCTTATATATTTTCCTTAAAATAAAATGCTAAGTGTAACTTAAAATGAGTATGTGTATATATATATATATATATATATATACACACATATATGTGTATGTATATATATACACACAGATATATATAACATCTGTCTTTTGAAAATAAACTAATAGTCTAAATAGAGGGAAATATTATTTGATTTCACTTATAGAGATAAAACGTGGAAACTATAGTCCAAATTACTTATGTTGAAAGAGCGAAGGAAATTATTTTTCTATTGTTTTGTAATAATGTGCTCTGAATAGTTTAGGTATTTTTGTGCTGGTTTATTGCCATTCATTTTAGTTTAATGATATGTATATTCAAAGATAATTATAGCAATTTGTGTCTTCAAGGCAGTTTCCAACATCGAATCTTATTGAACCTTTTTGAAATAGGTCACTGCTATCATGAACTAAAAGTATTTTGTAGTTTCTTCAAGTCAAAAGTGGGTTTGAATTAAGTCAGTTTGAATATTTTAAATTAAATGCCAGATGTTATGAATTTTATGCTGCTATGGCCCAAGAAGGGGTTAAAACAGGTATCATACAGCAATTGCAGATATAATGAAGAAGATTTCAATTTGGGCAGGGTCGGTGGTTTTGTTTATTTGTTTCTTTTTCCTCTTTTTTTTTGTTTTATGAAAAAATGGATCCAGATTTACGTAAAATGTTCATAAAATGAGCATACAGTGTGTTCATAAAACGAGCATACAATGTGTTCATAAAATGAATCTTGTATTATATTTCTATTCATTCTCTCTTTGTTCCTTTATTCACTACATTTCAACTTAGTTTTCTCCATTTCAGTCAAAAGCATAGAAACATAGATTTTGGTAAAAACATCTGAGGTTATGTATCGTCTCCACGTCTTAAAACAATTCAGGGGTTTTGAAGAAACAGTGACTGTTGTTCTTGCAGTGTCTCTTTTCTGACAAATGCATTCTGATTACAGGGCATGTAGATGTGTGACCAGCAAGCTAAGGTGTCTTGTTTGCTGCATCATCTTTTCCCATTTATACATGGGTTTTAGATGATAACCTTTACTGTAAAGGCAAGAACCATTTCTAATTTGCCTGAAATATAAAGCATCAAACAATACCGAATGAATACCTTTTTTTTTTTGAATACCTGTTAAAACATCACTTTTTCAAACTAATAGGTATAGACATGGAGTATGAGATTTTAGGGTAAGAGAAATTGCAATGAGTTCCCCCAATCATGCCCCTTTGTCTTTAGGCATCTAAGTTTTTCATGATGATGTGAACCTGTTTTTAATAGATATTTAGGAATGCAGACTCTATAAACAGCCTCAGTTATTCAAATGACTCCTATTAATAAATGCAAACACTTGCTGATCACCTACTATGTGCTAGGCATAGCAGTTAAAGTTTGTTATCTCATTTGGTTATAACAATAAGTAGGAATTGTGATTATTCTCATTTTACAGATGGGTGAAGTTAGGGCCAGAGAGTTTCAGTAACTCTTTAGAAAGAAAGTAACTCAGGCGATCTGACTAGAGTCCACACTCCTAACTAAATTCCATGGACATACTCTTCCTATGAAAGGTAAATTAGGAAACTAACTTGACCCAGGGATTCTTGTCATTCATGGCATAAGTGTAGCTTTTCCTTTTCATATGTTTGTAGTCTGTACAAATAATACCTTCACTCATCTACTTTGATAGATTCTCACTTGTGGACTAAAGAGAATGTTAGAAACAGAAGGGACCTCCAAAATCCAACTATCTCACTAGGCAACCAAGGTCCAAGAAAAGTTGTTTGGGTTAGAGACAAGAGAGAACCCAAGTTAGAGAACCCAAGTCTTCTCATACAGCTATACTTTTAAGTTTATATTTACGTTCAAGACATTTCATACTAACTTACTGAGTGGATGTTCTGTTGATATTGTAATTGCAGGCTCATGATTGATTTGCAGTTTGCTTATCTCTCCTTCTATAGAACATTTTAAGTGATGAAGTTTTCTTTTTAAAATGTTACATAGCTCATTAAAGATTGTTTTAAAATAAATTTAAAGATGTTCCCAACTTAAGAGGGTACTCTGAAATAGGTAACTAACCAGAACTGTAAGTTCATTTTATCAGACAACTAGAGTTTGGAAAAATAGATGAGAAATCATCTAGTGTAATGATTTCATTTCACAGTAGAGAAAACTTTGGTACAAAGAGGTGAAAAAACATTCCCAGGATTACAAAGCTACTCTGGGGCAAAGCTGGGACTAGGCAGTATGGTATGGTAATTTAGATTCTGACTCTGGAGTTAGACTCCCTGGGTTCAAACCTACCATTTACTGGCTGTGTGACCTTGAGAAAGTTATATAGCCTCTCTGTTCTTTTCTTTCTTTCTTTCTTTCTTTTTGTGGACTATAAGAGCAGTAATAGTACAAGAATATAATGAAAATAAAAGGTACATAATCCATGCAAAGCACTTGGAACTGTTCATAACATAGACTGCCTTAGCAATTATTATCATCTTCTGCTTTCTAATTCACTGCTCTTTTTTGTCACATCATAGTGATTTATTTTCCCATGATCTTCTAGTTCAATTTTAGTAAAGTTAGAAAAAATTCTGTGCTGGGATTTCCACTCAAGATAACAGTACCTTGTACTTTGATGCAGCCTTTCTTTCCCCATTACACAGCAATGAGAGATAATATGAAAAACAAGAAGGAGAGCATCAGAGCTGAGCTGAAAAATAAACTTTTCTGTGGACTGGAAATGGATTAGGTTTGCAAAGCAGTAAGGGTGGCTGACGCCAGAGGCTTGCTAGGTGTACAAGCATGCACTGGCAGAGTAAAGGGACTCAGTATTACCCTGCTTAGGTCATGGAGTCAGAGCTTGCTCAGTGATTGAGGATGGGCTGGGGTGTTCCTCCCCACTCAGGAAAGGAGGCTAATAATAATGACTGTCAGTTGTTTTCTGGGCCTATGACATATAGCAGGCTTTGGTCTAGGGATCTGATTGAGACAAAGCAACCAGAGACTGAACCAAACTGCCCATCTGTCATCCTAGAATAGGATCTGTGATATCCTGAGTATCACTGTGGATTAATAATTCTGAATCATCATTATGGCATTGGACCTCTAGAGGATAGTTATATCACTCACAAACCTATTGAACAGAGAAGGTGAGCGTAGGAGAGAGAGAGAAGGAGAAAAAAACAAAGACAACTTCTATTTCGAAAGAGTGTGGGAAATAAAATTCCAAACACACAAAGAACTCTAATGCTAATAAAATCAACAGAACATGGATTCATTCCAATTGAGATTATTTTTGTAATATAGCCAAATCAAACGTGAAAATAAGTATGTTAAGGATAATCAGAGTCATAAACTAATAACTCTTATGTAAAATTACTAAACTTGGGTATGAAAAAATTAAAAAGTACAATGGATAGTGTAAACTAAATAAATGAAACAAATATATGGGCACAAGGAAAGACTGTTAAAAATTACAGGATATTATTGAGGAAACTACCCAGCATGTAAAACAGAGAGACAAAGTAATAAATCTGAAAGAACTGTTAAAGAGACTTGGAGGGAAGAATAGGAAACTACAAATGTATCTAGTAAGAATTTCAGAAGAAAATGGAAGAATCGTTAAAAAAAATGAAAGTTGAAGAGCCAATAATTGAATATGTTACTGAATTGAAGAAAGATGTGGATCCTAGTTGGAAAGTGCCATCCAAGTACTAAGAAGGTTAAATATAAGTAAATTCTCATTGGACAGGTCATTTGAAAATCGCAAAACGTGAACTGAGGCTATAGATAAAATCCAAAAAACTACCAGAGGAATCAACAGAGCACCAAAGAGGAAAATCCAAACTGATGCCAGTAGATGCTAGATGACAATAGTGAAAGATCTGCAAAGTTCTGAGGGAGAATTGTTAAACAAAAAACTTTTATTGAAGACTGAGGGCAAAATAGAAAAATGTGCATATGGACAAAGCTAAGAGAACTTAAAACCCAGAGACTTTCTTGACAGGAAAAATGCACACAGGAGAAATGGTATGGGATATGAAAAAGCAGCAGCAAAAACTGATGAAATATGTTGTTGAATTTATATAGTTGTTACTGTACTAATTATAGTTGGATATTATGTTGAAACAGAAGCCAAAATAAATGCAATAAATAACTAACAAAACGGTGGAGAGTTTTTTCAAAAGGTAATTTGAATTTTCTAGTGGAGAGTAATAGAAGAAAACAGAATGAAGGAAAGATGGAAATAACCACAGGGACGTTGATGGAAAAAAATAATGATGTTCTGTTGTGTGAACTAGAGTTGATGAGGCATCACTGAAATAATCTATTTTTATTTAACTTCTGTTGGCACAAGTGAAGAGTAATATTCTCTTGTTTGGTAGTTTATGGACCTTGAAAGAAATATTCATTTTAGTTTTCTTCTGCCCTAACTTTATTACCTCAGAATTCTTCACCATAATCTATCTTTGGCTTTTTATCCATTACTATGCAGCTTCCTGTGTATTTTGGAATAAAATTAATTTAACAACATAACCATTTTTCTGTTTCCCTTTTTGCTTAATTTTCAACTTAATTTGAGTCTTGAATTATACTCAATTTTATATAGAATTGGGGAAAGAGATATAGGTCTCATTCACATTAATCTCTCTCCCCCTTTTTTCTACTCTGGGTATTGTATATTATCATTTTGTTTATCCTTTTAGTATTATTCATCTGGAAGTAGAT